CAGTAGGCCATAAAGTGCCACGCGAAAGGGATATAGTGAACACAGTCATAGGAGAGACAAGTGCCGGCCTGAGCATTCACTTTCCCGCTCCAGAGGTAGTGAATCAAACTAATGGGTTAAAGACATGAAGACGGATGGGCGGGAGGATTAGGACCCGGGCGGAGGTTTCTCAAATGCGTTCTCATACGCCTGTGATTCTTAAACATTTCAAACTTTGCAATCAAAAAGATGGAGTTTCATTTTAACCTTTTGGAAACTGCAACAGAAAAAGAAAAGAAAAAGTCATTAATGTGCCCCGGAGCACTGCACTAAAACAGGCCCCCTATAAGGCACTAAACTCCCCAACTGAGCCTGTTCCTCATCTGATATTATGGAAGATGAAGTTACCAAACAACACTATTTACAGGGCCTAGGTATAAGGTCATGTCTGCAACATGTTAACACATAGATTTGACTCTTTACTTTCTAATGTACAATTATAATCTTTTTGAAAAATGCTGTTAAAAGTGCTCAACTGTCTGCTCACTGATGAGCTGAACATACTGGTTTCATTCTTTTTCTAGATACAGTGATTTTGATACTCCTATAAGGTCCATATATGATCCCATCTCTTTTTACTAGTCACTTTCTCATTTCTAAGTCCAAGTCCCGGTTTAGATACAACCGGGCTGTGTCGAGAGCTGGACTTTGTGATTTTTGAAAGACCCACAGTGCTCCCTGCTGGTGAAGGACAAAATTGTTCTGAAGATGCACGCGGACGTTTCCAGCTTTAAACCAGCGCTTGAGTGTGTGTTTGTGTGCATGCTTCAACCTCTCGTGAGTTGCGTGAGTTCAGATCTCCAACAACATGGGAGTCTCCCGGCCACGTAACAGCTTCCTCCGAGAGTTAGTCTGAATCACGGACGAGAGACACCGAGCCAGAGTGAGACACACAGAGAGAGAGAGAGAGAGAGAGACAGAGAGAGAGACAGAGAGAGAGACAGAGAGAGAGAGAGAGAGAGAGAGAGAGAGAGAGAGAGAGAGAGAGA